CACACACACACACACACACACACACACACACACACACTAACCAAGGCAGCGGCCAAAATCACCCATTTAGCTCATTTAACCCTGTGTTGCTCGTTCATAAAACGTACAGCCAGTCTTGTGATGAACTGGTCGAAATGTTCGCTCACGTTTTCTGGGGTTAATGTTAGCAAATAAATTGAAAAAACAAGTTCCACCAAACTCTTCAAATGACGAACAAAGTTTGAAGTTGTCGCCTGGCTGTCCGAGATGTTTATGCCGCATGTCTTGCACTGTGCTGTTCGTCGTTTGCTGTAATAATGGTAATTCCGAAAGCCGAAGATGATGACTCTCGGTACCCCTCCCGCTGACATGTTGATGCCTATCTGATATAAGAGGGCCTGTTTCTCCAATAAACATGTAAGGTACGTAGAGAGGGCATGACTGATTGACAGGGTAGTGATCCAATCATGACAACGCCATTCTCAGTCTGCGCTCCTACCGGGTAATCGACATTATTTTTTAAATTAATTTATTAATTTTATATTCTAACCGAAAACATGATGTTAATAACACTCAAGTCATTCAAATCATCGTGTCTCAAATGAAGTCAAGTCCTGAGTCTTTAACTTCCAAGTCTGAGTCAAGTCTCAAGTCTTTTATTTTTTGTCAAGTCACAAGTCATCAAAACAGCGACTCGAGTCGACTCGAGTCCAAGTCACAATGACTCGAGTCCCCATCTCTGATATATACACATATATATATATGTATGTATATATACACATATATATGTATGTATGTATGTGTGTGTGTGTATGGCAAATAGATTTAGAGATTTACAGACAGATGAGAAATAAAACTGTAAAAATAAAATTAAGCAATATCTCACTCGAGCTCGTGATGGTATACTCGTATAAGACAATCACAGCCGTGACGATAATTTAAGCATTTTATTTGTCTTCCGCCAACAAAAATAGTTCCCTCGGGACTCTGCTGTCACAGTTGCTATATAACGCAAACATGGTGCGCCAGGCACTTACTCTTTATACACATTTATCTGCACATTTCCATTAATTGTGCAGCCAGTGAAATAAGTCTCTGGTGACTGCATGGTGGACTGTCGCTTCACAGGCACAGCTGACTCTGCCTTCTGATCTGACAGTATGTTGCTCCATCGTTTCCTGCTCTCCATGGATGGCTTCCAGTAGCTTTTTAACGAGTTCTCAGACCTGCAAGACAAAAGGTATATTTAGGGCCCGACTCCTAATTAGAAGACTAACTTTACACATAGGCTCCATTAAAACAACATCATACCTGTGCCCACTCACTGTCAAGATCTCCCTCGCTTCAAGACCCGCATCTGACAGCTTCTGTATGGCAGTCGCCCTGAGGCTGTGATTGGTGTAGATAGTTTGTTGTCCCCGCCTCTTTACACATCTTCGGCAGCATCTGTGCGAGTGAGTATATTCCCAGCAGTGCTTTAGTGTACCAGATATTGTCTGTGTGAGCTGCTGTCATCCTGGGCTTCAGATAAAGGGCATTTGCATCTGGTGGAAGTTTGTTTAAATACTTTTCCAGGGATGTAACGTAACTGCTGACCTAACTGACACTAACCATCAGTTTTGATTTGATTGTTGATTGCAATCAGCTGTGAGGCGGAGTGATACATACACAGTGAAATAACCGTGATGTTGTACTCCAATATCGTCACAGTTTTACTGTCTCTCGACCAATCAGATTGCAGGGCCAGAACTAACTGTTGTATAATAAAAAATAATTACAGCTTGTTCCGATGAAGTTTGACAACAGACAACTTAAGAACAATAACATAAGAAGTTCATATAATTAGCTAATTTGATGATTTAATTACCAATAATACTGACCTATACAAAATGTTCTTCAGAAAATTGATGTCTGCTCACTGCTGAAAAGTCGCAGTTGAAGCATTTGAAATAGATAAAATGCTAAAGCAGTTGAAGTTGTAGTTGAGGTGGCAGTCACGCAGGCTAATTGGCAGATATATTGTTATCAGATTTTTTATGTCTGTTTGTCTGTATGTCTCTCCTTCCAGTTCTCATGAACACGATATGTCGAGAATAGTGTGAGGGAATTTCTTTAAATTTGGCACAAACATCCACTTGGACTCAATGATGAACTGATGGTCAAAGTTTAAGGTCACTGTGACCTTGCATCTGTCTCATTCTCGAGAACGTGATACCTCGGGAGGGCTTTGAGGGAGTTTCCTAAAATTTGGCACAAACGTCCACCTGAACTTAAGATTGAACTGATTAGAATTTGGTGGTCAAAAGTCAAAGGTCACTGTGACCTCACAAAACAGGTATTTGGCCATAACTCAAGAATTCATATGCATAATAACATTTTATATCCAAAAGGTTCAAGGTAAACGTCACTGTGACGTCATGATATTCTGCATAAAACACTTGCCGTTACTCAGCGTCATATTTTGGAGACATTTTGTCAGATACTGAATTGGTGACACTAAACCTGGGTGTCCACCTTGAAACTGTGTTGATTGAATAGATCTTCTATGCTGCCAAGAGGAAGATGTAAGTATCCATGTTTTGGCAGACATGAATGTAAACTGTAAGTGCAACGTGTTTGTGGAGGCATACAACCAGGAGGTGGTAATTTTAGTTTAAACTCTCAAATATCGATATTTGGCCTTATAATTTCAGTATTGTCAGGCTGTAGTATACCGTACCAATAAAGTCTGATATACTGTCGCCACAATAACATGAACAGTTCATAAAATATACAAATATTTAGTAACATAATTAGTTTTCCTGTGGTGAACAATGAACTTGGTCTTCCCCTGCCAAATTTCAAACACACTGCAGCACCGTCTGCCTCATATCTTGTCAGGCAGCCCAGATTTTCTTAAACTCCCAGGACACCTATAAGCCATGCAGCATTTAAACGTTTGCCCCAGACATTTCTCTGATGTAAAAAGGTGTTCCTCCCTCTCTCTCTTTCTCTCTCTCGCTGTCTGTCTGGGACAGTTTTAGATAGCTCAGACTGTTTTGACATAATCTGAATGGGAAAGGTTTTCCGCCACAACAAAGCTACATGATTCAGAGACGGAGGGTGCCGAGGATTTAGTGTCTCCTCTGCTTGCGGTGGCTCAGCTTTTTGTCTGGCTTATCGGCATTGTTTGCAGGGCAATCAGGAGCATGTAGTCAGATGTACACACATGCACATGCTCATTATACACGCACGCACGCACACACACACACCGTCTCCCAAATAAGCATGACGGTCACAAACACAGTCACCAGTGAAGACAGAAAGTGCTAACAGGCGCTCACTAAAGGTGATCGCTCAGTATTGAGCTGCAGCTCTGATCAGGACATGTTTTTCTCCAGGGAACTTGACAGCCTTCCTCGTCTGGTGACACAGCCCAGAGATTAGCAGTGTTTACTCCAGGATGTCAAACAAGCACACATGCAGAGATGTTTTCTAACGGTGAAATGTCTGTTTCTTCCCTGCAGGTACATGGGTGACATTTGGGGGACAGATAACAGACGAGGTATGAAACATGTTTCCTTTATCTTGTATGTTTATTTCATCTCAATGGACTCTGTATTGACTGATTGATTGTACTGTATATGTGGTAGTAATCGGTATTGAATGTGTTGTATATAAACACGATACTGATTGCTCAATGTACTATGCTTAAAACACTTAGGTAGATGTTTGATACTGAACAGTGATACTGACTAAGTTTAAACACATAGCAATAGTATCAAGGTGTCTCCACTACATTAAAACTTGTTTTGTGGTATTTCAAGATTTTTTTTCTCGATGTTTTCCCTCATTTTTCCTCATTTCTGGCATTTTTGCTATGGTTTATTTTGATTTGATTTGATTTATTTTGAACATTTAAAAAAAAAATTGTAGAGAGAAACTCTAAAAAACAGAGACAAGCAATAAATCATGAACAGACTGACAATGAAAAACATAAATTAACATTTCATGCCCGAAAAAGGAGTAGGAAGAAGCAACATGCTTGTCTAGCCCTACCCCAAATCCCAAATATACTAATCCATCACTAATCACACTATTACAAATGTACACTCTCAGCCACACATTTACACCACTGCACCTCTTAATACCTGATAACCAATATTACCCCCCCCCCCCCCCCCGTTTAAAACAAATACAAAAATACAAATTGAGAACTACAGTATCACCCTGAGTGAGCTTCACATTCCCTCTAATCATTTCTGTACCTTTGTGAAGACACTGCCTTTGTACCTCTTTTTAAACCGTCTGATATCTTGACTTTGTTTCATTTCTTCACCCAGTGCGTTCCACAAAAACTGAAATGGACATACAAAATAGGTGGATGGAAATGCACCCACTGATGAATAAATGACTGAAAATGGTGCTCCAGAAACCTCACACTAACGACCCTTTATACCAGAAAATGTTGCTAAATTCAAAATGGAATGACCTTCAAAAATGGAGCCTACAGGTCCTCAAAAGTTGGCTGAACATTTGGGGGTCATTGTCCAACCATAGCCAGATTCAGTCAGATTTTTGTGCCTCTTTAGTTCTTTGTATGCAAACTATAAAATTAACTTTGAATCAACGCGATGACTTGTTCAGCGTTTTAGCCACGTTTTCCAGTTGTCCGTCTCACACTCCTATTTTAATGAATGTATACACAGCTGTACACAGTTAACCTTGATCAGACCATTGGCTGACAAACGTCCAATACCTACAGGCTCAATTATCCTACAGCTCAGTTTTTTTATTGCTCCCTCATGCTATAATGAAGGCTTTTTATAAATGCTTTAAAAAGACACAACCTTCACAAAGACTTTAGGTGTAATGATTCAGATTATTTGCACTGACTCAAACATGACGATACATGCGACAGGAAAAGGGCATGTTGAGGGTCGACACATCGTGTGTACGTGTTCGTACTTATATCCTCTTTACACTCATGTTGCTGAACTCTAACATGCTCTGATGTTGCTGCTGGGGTCTTGGCCTTGGCCATCACACACACAGAGACACACATATGCACACACTAAATGTGACACTTAGGGGGAAGAGGACAAAACTCACCACAGGGGACACAGTAAGCTTATGTAACAGTATTATTTTTCTTACTTTGAGGCTTAGTGCCATCGACTCACATGGTTCGCTCGAAGCTTAGCGCCCCATTTCTCTCCATTATTGTGAGTGTCCCCAGTTCAATGTCACTGGTATCACTCAGACACAAGTTAACAGGCTTTGGCTTCAACAGCTGAGGTTCATACAGTAAAGGCTGGTTGGTTTTAATACAATCTGTTTTAAATTTTACTTTCAGAGACACACAGCAGTGTGTTACTGCCATTAAACACAACCACAAGAAGAAGCCAGTGCTGCAGACAGGAGGTCTCTGTGGATTCAGTGGCACGACCACACAATAGCCACAGTATCATCATCACCCACAGAGTTGGTGGGTTAAAAAGTCCTCCACTGTCCTGATTGCCCCCGTTCAATGTCATTGTTATCAAAAGTGCTCTAAATATACTACATGTCCTCAGTAGAGTTCAGTGTCCCTGTCCTCATTAAGAAATGCAAAACAACTCTGGCACACAAACACACTTACTACATATAATCTGTGTCAGTGCTGCTCAAATATGCACTTAGTTGTGCACATGCTCCAACACTGACTTATACACAAGATCTCATCTTTTCTCTTAGTTAATTAGTGTCTTTTCTCATGAGGCATAATTTATAGAAAGCTTATGAATTGGAACCTATAGATGGAGTAATGATAGCCAGAAAGACCCTTAGGATTGGCAGTTGGACCTCTTATCTTAAAGCTGCAGTAGGTAGAAAGCCTGAAAACGGTTATTTTTGAGTCTCATCTGAGTTAGGTTTCGTTCGTCTCCGCCCTGAGCCCCTCCTACCAGACGAGCATGCGAGTATTTTATCCTACTTGGTTCTATGTCTCGGCTCTCCCTCACCGCGCAGCAGCCCTCCCCATCCTTCCCTCGCTGCCCTGCACATATACCCCTGAGGCTCGGCTCCCACGGCCGAACCTCGCGCCCTCCGGCCAGGCCCGACCCCACCTCACCCTTCCCCTCCCTCCGGGGCTCAGGGGAACCGAGTTCTGTCTTCCTTTTTTTGGGTTGTTTAGCCGTGCTGCTAAATGGTGGAATAGCTATTTTACCTGGTGCACTGTTCGTCATTGCCGCTTGCTCTCCCCTTCTGCCGGCGGCATATGCAGTAGAACAGCCAATAGGAACGCAGTGGTCTGAGCTGACCTTTGATTGGTTGATGCACATCGGCACGATACTGATTCTTTAGAGGCTGAACACAGAGCCATGGTGAGGTGCAGAAACCTGTTGTTTGAAACCTGCCTACTGGAGCTTTAAGGTCATAAGACAAGATTAATACAAATTTCATGTCTCTGTGATGCGTATAATGGCGTTGTAGCAAGGCGGTGATTGGCTTAGCTTAGCATGACTGTAAACTGGGGGAATAAACTAGCCTGGTTCTCTTTATAGTTGAAAAATACTCCTACCACATCTCAAGAGCTCATTATTTACCACGTCATATCTGTACGCGCACAGAAATGTTAAAAATTAGAAGTGTGATGTTAAGAGGAGTTGCATGCTGCACCTTGGCAAACAGCGGCTGGGTGCAGCAACTGTGTGGAGTCTAGACATCACCGTGAGGTTGCCAGACAACCACAGCAGATTCCAGGAATTGTCTGCATCCAATGTGTGATATTTAGACGTGATCGTCTGTGGATTTTAATATGAACGGAGCAAGTCCAGCTGTTTCCACATACATCCAGTGTTTATACGAGGAAGCAAAACAGTGAATAAGCATGTTAATTAGTTCCCAAAATTTAGAGCTATTCCTGCATTCATGTGGTGTCGGAAGAATTGGAAAAATTTGTTCTCCCACTGAGGAATTCACATGAACACCCCCCTTAATTCAGAATAACAACTCGGAAAGTCGACGAAAACTTATCTACATGCCTCGCAGAGTTGATGTAATATTATGCAGGAACATGGTGGACAAAAGTAAATGTTTGTCATGAAGTCACATATTGCATATTCATTTTTGCTCAGGTGTAATTTATAATATGGTATTGGGTTGTAACTCTTGGTTGTTGTCCACGTAGAGTGGTCTAGATTAGTTAGAAATGTATTTATTAACCCTGATATCAAGTCAGGTAAATCAGTATTTTAGTAGTTTTAGGGGATGCATTGGTGCAGCAACACGTCCGGGATGAAATCTCGCTGTAATGTGAAGCTTTAAACTGTTTTACCTTTGGAAAGCAACATGAATCTTCACTGGGACATTAAACACTCTGAGCAATAAAACATAATGTATATTACACATTACCACTTAAAAGCTCATGAACACATCGAAACTGCAAAAACGACTTCCCCACTTAGGTAATGGGACCATTCAAGGAGCGTATACTGCAGCATTTTCCTTAAACATGTAAAACTGAAGACCTGATAGCTTGTTAGAAAGTGAGCAAGTCACTAATGACAGCCCATGAGCTTCTCACTTATTATTAAGCTCATTAAAACATGTATATGCAGTATATATTATATAGGAAATATAGAAAAGATGTCCTTTACAAAGCCATTATTAACAGCTTCTAAGCCTCGTAGTGTGTCTCATCAAACTGCTGCTTAGTTTGTTTTACGGCAGTCTTTTGTGGGCTGTAAGTAACACACTCCCAGACAACGAGCTCACAAGAGTGATGGTGGGCTACAAGTTAACATTGCTTACTCATTCAAAAAGGCCAAAAGTGGATCCATAAATCATAAAGTGAATTTGAAGAAAGTGTGTCTTGTCGGTTTTAACTTTGATGTTGGGAGTGTGGAGGGGAGGAGGCAGCACAGCCATAAAATCATCTCAAGGCTGTGTGGGTAGTATGTGGGAGGCCTTGATTCTGGGGCTGTGAGGGAGAGATCGTTTTTTCTCATCAAGTCTCTTCTATGTATGGAAATCAAATATCTCCTGCACCTTTTGTGCCCCAGAATAAAAAAAAAAAGAAAAAGAAACAAAGTCAGGAGCCTGAAGTGTAGCCACCCATGTATTTCTGCAACTTAACAGTGACTCAGTGTTTTTCTGAAGGTGAGGGTAGAAGTGCATCAGTGTATGTTTGTGTGCTGCAGACAGATTGTCTCTGCAGTTTGTCCTCCCCGTACAGAAAGCGCTGCAGCATTTGAAGGCCATTAGTCACATTTAGTTCATCCAGAATGGCCAGAAGTCAGAAATCTGTGTAAGCTGTGATGCTTTATCATCGACACAAACTTCCTGACCTTGTGAATGTCACTCTGAGCACTCCATGACAGTGATTGACCTTTAACTGTCGTACGAGACTCGCTGTGAATGAGCAATCAGCAAAGGCCAAACAGTCACTCTTTAAAAACTGACTCTGTCACCCTCATCTCGGCTCTCTGTCTGCGACTATCTGCTCGTCTGTGTCTCTTCATCTCTGGCATGTTTCTCACCTTACCTGCAAAAACTTGATTACCCACTGTGTTTGTCCTTAAA